TCCAATGATTCCAAAGGTTGAAAGAAACATCTTCACAGAGGTGCAAACTTGCAGCACAGCTAAACAACCAGGCCAGACAGGTAGAAGCAAACAAACCATCCTCCTGTATGAAAGCTCAGAGGAAGTCAAAATTAAACAAACGCCACTGATTTTTAGTTGCCTGTAAAAGTGGGGAGCACATAAAGCAGTATTACTGTGGCATTTGTGTAATGTATGCTGATACATCGTGTGTCAAAGCCCTGCAGGATAACAACCACAACCATGCCTCCAGACTTCCAGACTGTCAGGACATCTGTTACTGCTGACAGTCATATGTCCTGCCATGTGTGTGTTTGTATACACATGTAACTCTGTGTGTGTGTGCGTGTGTGTGTGTGTGTGTGTGTGCGTGTGTGTGTGTGTGTATGAGAGAGAGAGAGAGAGAGAGAAAGAGAGAAAGAGAAAGAGAGAGAGAGAGAGATGAAAAAAAAGATGGGTAGATCTTTGGCAGCAGGGCCTTGCAGAGAAAACAGGAACAGCCGCGCTCCTTCAACATTCATGTCTGTATATTAAGGAAAAAAATGACACTGAGGATCAGTGTCATTTTTTTCCTTAATATTATTTTTTATTTATTTATTTATTGCATTAAGAATCAAATCAGCTCAAATGTGGCAACAATGTCAGAGACACTGACATATATATAGAGAACTTCATGAGCTCATCATTTGAACTGGATTTAAGAACTGAAGCTAAACCAAAGTCATATTTTACAACAGCTATCAACAGATATGTGTATGCATATTACAAGACAACACTGTATAAAAGCCTTGAGTTGACATTAGCCAAATTAACTCAGCCCATCTTTTCATCTTTAAAATAATTCTCCTTTGCAGTCATAACCTTATCTTAGGAAGAAATCCAGCATTCCATGAAAGGTCTTTTGAATTACAAAAAGTGCATGTATGGTGTAATGGCACTAGGGGGAGCAATTTACACACACTTGGGCAAATTCTCTTGGGTTACAGCATAGGACTGCTATAATTGAACTTGGCTTCAAATATTATTTTTGTTTACTATGGATTTAATAAGGAATTCTGTGCAAATTTTACAAAAAACAGTGTGTCGCTCAGCTGGTGGATTTCACACTGACTGATTCAGACTGGAGACAAATGGAAGGGTAAAATACAGGGAGACAAATGGTATCAAATTCAAATCTATCAAGCAAGGGAATAATGAATTCATAGCATATCACCAAAGTGTACAAATAAGCCTTAAAACTGGGTAAACCAGAATCACCCATCTTGTGCTGTCCACACTCTGCAAGTGTTTGCTTTGACAGAAAAAGTGAATAATTTTCTGTCCTACCCTTTTTGCTTTCATCACATCACATGATGCTGTGCAAGAGGATGAGAAAATAACTCATAATCACAGTTTACCATCATGCCCAATATTCATTTAGTGCCACAGAGAAACTGCTTTCACAACTCGAATCAACAAGTTTCCCAGTGTGAGATCTTTAATAGTGACACATAAACACCATAAAACAGATTTGTTGGGATGGTGATGTGATTCATAATGTGTTAGCTAATGTCAGTCATGATGATAATATAATTTTGAAGTACCTAATGGAAAATTGTATCCATACTGAGCATGCCCTATATTAAAGCTGATCTGTCCCTTTCACTATGCAGCATCTTATCTTGTTACAGGCAGCAATGTGCCCAGATTGGGTCGATATAAAGCACACCTGTAACTACACATCACACAGGCTGAGCAGGAACTTAATCGTATATTTCTATCATAATCGTGGATGTGTAATTATTCCAAAGATTTTTTTTCCTTTATTTTTTCCTCACTGTTTGTCAGAACCCATCTTTTTCCCCAAAAGGCAATGGTATGGGAACTTGTGAGTATATGGTGTCACATCATACCCAAATTTAAATAGCAGTGCAATAAATGATAAATTTTTGAGGTGTTGTTTAAACCCTGCTCTGTTGCCCCGTGGGTGATGTGGTTTAGTCGTTAACAACAAGAAGGTTTCTGGTTCATATCGGTGCAGAGTTTGCATGTTCTCCCAGTCACTGAGTGGATTTCCCACAGTCCAAAGACTTGCATGTTAATTGGTTAACTGGTGATTCGAAGCAGTTACATTTCACAGAACAGGGCTCTGTATTAATGTAGTAGTAAATGTGGTTTGTAGTTTAAATTTTTTTAAAGCAGTTAGTAAAACTAAAACATGGCAGCCCATTTCTGTGAGAATGTGTAAAAATCCCTCTTGCTTCAGTGCAGATTTTAGCCCTATACTGTAGTCATGTTGCTGGGTCTGTTTATTTGTGACCTGCAAAGACAACTTTCTATAGCACAGTATAAACACTCCAATGCAAGCAACTGTACAGAGGGAACAGCTCAAATGGATGAGTGAAGGAAACCAAATGCAAGGCACAAGAGCTCACTGATCAACCAGTTTTATGTTGGTGAAAATGACATAAATCTTACATATTCAACAACAAAAAAATATCAACCCATCAACTCATTGGGGATTTCTTTTTTCTGAGGAAACATCATATTTTTTGGAAGGATGGTGTTCATGCCTCCAATGGGGCTCAGAAGAAAACATTGGAAAATGTATTCCTAGAGCCATGAAACTCCTCAGGAAGACTGCAGTTTTTTTGGGGGGGTTTTTTGTTCGTTTGTTTGTTTGTTTCGTATAGTATCATAATGTAAATCTTATTTTTAACACACAGTAAAAGACATAAATATGTGGATTTTATGGGTATGTTTTATGTAAAGAAATATTACGAAATAGATGCAAAAGGAATGTTGAGAAAAAAATTTAACTAACATTGTCACATGTGTATGTAGAAATCTACTAAGTATCCCATTAGTGTTCCATTAGATAACGACCTAATTAATCATTTTTATTTATTTAATTTCGTTGTTTTTTTTTTAATCACACATGATTAGAAACATTTACAGTGAAAGAGATGAAAGTCAAGGTACAAAAAATATCTAACAATGCATAAGAGTTGCATAAGTGTCCAACAAGTAAACAATCTATATGTGGTTCAGTGCTGTGTGTATGAAAATACACACCACACTCGTGTATTAAAGTTACCTGCTGCTTTAAACCCGCCCTATTATTATTATTATTATTATTATTATTATTATTATTATTATTATTATTATTATTATATAATGTTACAGCAGTGGAGTCCATACAGGGGTTCCCCATTCACAAAGCCTGTCTGAAGGTACGGAGGGCGGAGGGAGGGAGAGGGAGAGAGAGCGAGAGAGGGAGAGAGAGAGAGAGAGTTGAGGCATCCCTTCTTCACTTGGCTGCATTCGGTTTACCGACACCGGAGAAGCGACCATGCTGTGGAAACTAGTTGAGAATGTCAAGTATGAAGATATTTATGAGGTAACGTTACCGTCCAGCTGTTTGTGACTCGGGGGAAATAGACTAAATGAAGTTATTAGACATGCTTTTAGAGTTCATTTGTTGGATGCTGTTGAGTGAAGTGTTTTCCACGAGGCTTTAAGGCCTCGTATTTATGTTGCGGTGAGTGTGAATATGAATTGGAGAACCATTTGGCACATGACAGATTTATTCAGGCATAAAACGGATTAATTTGTGCTGAAATGTTTTCAAGTGCTCACATTATTTTAAGCTGTGCTTGTCGCTGTGGTGCAGTGTTCAGTTTTGGGTACAGAAAATATGTGACACTGCCTACATGAGGGTTGTAATCAGTCAGATTTTTACTTTGGGCTTTGGGGTAAATTAATATTTAAAGCAATCTAAATATCTTTTTTAACATAATAAAAAAAGAATAAGGTGCAAGGACTATAAGTTCATTCCCAGGACCTCAACGTGACCCAGTAACTAATGAAAAGCTCATTTTGACATTTTTAAATTACAGCGAAAGACAAATAAGGTGGAGAACCGCTGTGTCAGAGCAGGGTGATGATGTGTAGCCTATGGAGTATGTAAATGACTTGGCTTTGATCCCAGAACAATCATTTAAAAAAAACGGTGAGGGGAAAGGAGGAAGAAAAAAGTGAGAAATACAACGCGCGCGGGGGCGCAAACGCTGCCCCGGCTCGCGCTGAATGGGCTCGAGCACAAAGCAGACGAAGAAAGGGTATAGCTCGCGAGGCCCCTCGGCTGAGCCCGGTGGGAAGCCCTTGTCTCGTGCCACACATGGTTTTTCTCCCACGGCGCGAGGGAGGGGAGGCTATAATGTTGTTAAACAAGTCACCCAAGAGGGCAAAGAGGAGAGGCTGAACGGTCTACAATGCAAAGTTTAATCGCTGCTTCTGAGTTCACACGAGCCCCTCACGCGTCTTGCCTTGTCTCGGGTGTGCGTTTGCTTTCGGTTGGCAGCTGCAATATGACTTGAGCTGCCTTGAAATTTCAAGAGTGTGAGTGTGGTGGGGTGAAGTTGGGGTGAAAAGTCAGAGTAAAATCTGAAAGTGGCTAATGCGCTCTTTTGCGGTTACTGTGAGTTTATGCGTCAGCTCAAAGTTCTTTTCTCTTCTCTCTTTTTTTTTTGCTTTAGTGGATGCATTTCCGCTTTGTTTGGCGTTGACTAACGTAACTTGACAACCTAGTGTTAATCGTCTCATAGTCGACCCAACAAGGCCTGTTTTTATTGCCATATTGTCTTCTATTGGTTTCTTTAACGTAAAAAGTCTGTTTGCACAGAAATTATTTGCGCAAAAGTGTCTCCACTGGCAAGAAAGTGCGCTTTATTGCGTCAGCTTTTACACATAAAGGGGCCCCAGAGCGGTATTTTATATGACAGAGGATTCCTCACGGGTCTGGATACCCTGTTCGTTTTCTCCTGCGAGAGAGAGTCCTCTTTCAATCTCCTGCTGTTCGCGCGTCGTTTCGGCTCTCCACGGAATTTCAACGTCACTCACGGTTGCGCGAAAGGCTTCACGCTCCATGTGTCGCCAGTCCCCTGCCTCGCGCACATTAATATTCCTGTAAGTCTCAGTCATGAATAACAATTACACCGTATACCGGGGGTAGAGGAGGGAGCTCGGTGCTCACACTCAGAGCGGCGGCAGCTCCGGGCGGAGGAAGGTTCTGTATGGAGTTGTAGATCGGGCCGTGCCTGCAGATACTCTTCATTCTTACCTGGAATGATTTTGGCTGTATCGGCCCTACACGCTCCGTCCTACACCGCTATTCTACCGTGAGCCCGCTTGTGATACACCGGCAGAAGGTTTACAGATGTTAGTTCATCCTTACTCCACCGCGGTGAGTTTTCTTCAGAGTATTTCAGAATTCGTTTGCGCAAACGGTGAATCCCATAGATATGGCTGGCAGGTTTTTAGTTGTGAGACAGTTTAATTTAGGCTGTGACATTTTTTTCCTCCAGGCTCTTATGTGTTTTTGTTCAGGAGTTTCAGTGCCAGTTAGGCTTCTTTGGCTACATCACCAGAGGCAATTTGCAAAATGATCTTGGGCCTTCGTTTCTTTAAATTGTACTTGCAGTTCTACAACTGGTTCAATTTTTCCTGTTCTTTTCTGCATCCTGTTCAAGGACCGGCATGACGGTGTCTCGAGCCACAGCTCGCGGCTGTCCCAGCTGGGTTCAGTGTCGCATGCGGGACCCTACTCCAGCGCGCCACCGCTGTCTCACGCGCCTTCCTCGGACTTCCAGCCGCCGTACTTTCCTCCGCCGTACCAGCCGCTCGCTCACTACCAGAGCCAGGATCCGTACTCCCACGTCAGCGACCCATACTCCCTGAACTCCCTGCACCAGAGCCAACAGGGAGCATGGGGAGCCCGTCAGCGGCAAGACCCCACGGGGGACCGGATGGAGAGCTCCGCTCTGCTGGCGCAGCCTCGGGCCTCGCTGCCCCAGCTATCCGGGTTGGACCCACGGCGGGACTACGGAGGTGTAAGACGGCCTGATGTGCTTCTTCACTCCGCTCACCCCGGACTGGAGCCTGGTATGGGAGACGGACTGCTACACGGGCTGCACGGTATGGAGGATATTCCGGTAAGTTAAAGGCACAGCTGAGATTTGCAGAGATTGAATGCACATATAACATAATTTTAGATTTTCCTGCTCCCATTATGTCATATAATTTTAAGAAATCGTGTTTAAGAACAGGCAGAAAATGGCAAATCCTCAGACTTGAACCATCGAGGAGAAAATTCGCCCTACTTTTATTCACAATTTATTGAATAGTTCATAGTTTTTAGATATAAACAACGTACATTATAACGGTGAATTTTCCAATTTCCCCTGACAACAAAACACTTCAATTGAACTAAAACAGACACATTTACAACAACCAAAAATAAGCAATAAATAAAATGGAAACTAATTTTCACTGGAAGAAAAGAAAGGATATATGTTGACAGTTATCTTGTTCATTGTCTACGCATGACTCTCGTGTCTTTAGAGTTAAGGTCAGTGAACTTGGGGCAGCTCCCTCAGGGCTGAATGCTCACAGCAGCTGTAGCCAAACGGAAATGGCTCAAAGCTTAAAAAAGAAGAAAAGAAAGACTTGAGATACCCAGGAAAGCCTTTTTTTTTTTTAAATCAAAAGAGAAACATATGTTTGCAAATAAAGCATCATAAATCTGGCTTTAGGCAGTAAATTAAATGTTCCTCGCGGTTTATTTAAAATTTCATTTCAACGTAGTTTAACACGTTAGACATAGTTTTCAATGAAGATAACAAATTACGCAGATTAAATGACATTAAATTATAACAAAGTAAAGAATATTTTTTACTTTCGTTTTTAACGCAATATCTATTATTATTATTATTATTATTATTATTATTATTATTATTATTATTATCACTTGCTGTTTATTTTCTTTCTTAGAGTCTTGCTTTGCTGCTAAAACGCTATAAATTCACAGAGCGAGATACTAAAGACTTAGTGAAATAGGTTTATTGTAAAGCTGTGTAGGATTTTCATTTTCTACTCGTTTCCCCCCTCAGGGCACAGCCATCACGAATTGTTTGCCATTTAACCTCCACAATAGAATCTCATTTCGGGCTTTCCGTGTTTGTGTTTTGCATTTATTAACCCCCATATAAATTTGTTTTTGTATATTTGTTTCTTTGTATTTGGCTGTGACGCATTCGTGACAACACCCGGTCTATTTAACAATTTATTTGGCAAGATGATGAATGACACTGATGAATGATGGGGGTTTGAATGTGTGGGAATAGCTGCTTCTAACCACGTCGTGATGAATGAAAGCACTGCATTATGAGCTAGATTGGACCGAAGTCTGAAAACAAATAGCTCAAACGTGTATTCCGCCCCCTCCTTTTGAAACCTAACATGAATCTTTTTTTCTTTTTTTCTTTTTCTTTTCTTTTTTGCTGGACTGTGTGATTGAGGCTTGTCAGGTAAATCACTGGTTAACTTTGTGTACAGCAGGGTTGAATGTTTTGCATTTATCTCCTCTCTTTTTTAAACAGACCGCTGATGACACCAACGGGACGAGCATCCTGGATCAATCAGTGATAAAGAAAGGTAGAAACACACATTCTCTCTTTAATACAAAGACACACATCTCTGTTCTCTAAGCAATGTGGCCTTACTTAAAAAAAAATAATATATAGTAATAATTGAAGAATATCACAGGTGGAAAGAGGAAATACGCGCGCTCTATTCTCAAGACAATTTATTTGGGTTTCTTCACTCCTGGGATGTTTGGATAGGTTCTTATGAATTATAATGATTTATTGTATGGATATGTGTGTGTAACCTCCGGCCCAGTCCCTCGGGAAATGTCATGATCAGTATGGTTGTGACCTTAACTGGAAAAGGCGTTCTCGCCGAGTCTATTCATGGAGTTTCTCGTATTTTGGGGGCCGGGATGAGGGGTCTGAAGCCGAGGTAACGACCCTGGTATATTGACTATCAGGCAGTGTGTCGCTGACAGGCTGCCACGCTGCCGCTCTGATGATGTGCGGTGATTTAGTTACGGGATGTTGAGTGACTGAGCTCCCCGCGGGGCATTTAAGCCGCTGATGTAATAAATGGCATCGCTCACGGAGATCTCGTGAGCTCGTTTAGAGCTAATCTGCGGCATTATCCCCCGTGGAGCCATCAAAACCCCCTCGCACTGGCCCTTATATGCGCGCATCCACGAGGCAGGCTGGCTGGCGGTTTCCCCTTTACTTCACGACATTAACAAGAGCATTAGCGCGCGGGATGAAGAAGCATCCAGTGCTGCTGGTGGGTGTTAAACCGGCCGTGGAGAAAAGACAGGGAGGTGGTTAATGCGATTTGAGAACGTGAGCCAATCAACAATCGATAACGCTGTAATGAGAATGTCGCGCGACATTAAATAACAGCAAATGCCCGGCACGTGGGCGCTTCATTAGGCCAGGGCCGCCCCCTGAGCGCGCGTGGTCTCACTGAGCAAAGTTTGGCACAGAGGAGTGATGTAAAGATTTCAAACTTGTGCCCCCTGAATGTGAAAGCATGTTATGTAAGAAATCCACTCTAACCTTCCTCTTTCAGTCCCCATGCCACCCAAGAACGTGGGCTCCCTGATGCTCGGTAAGGACGGGCTGATCGGAGGAGTGACCGTGAACATAAACGAGGTGTTCTGCTCGGTACCAGGCCGCCTGTCGCTGCTCAGCTCCACTTCAAAGTATAAAGTGACCGTAGGTGAAGTGCAGAGGAGACTGTCCCCGCCCGAGTGCCTCAACGCCTCCTTGTTGGGGGGCGTGTTGAGAAGGTACGGATGTAGCCTTAAAGCATGTTGACGCACAACGTGGAGTTCAGGAATAACCTCTAGAAACTATGAGGAAAATATTTGTGTGCATTTAATTTGCAGGAGCAGTTATTAATGAGACTACGAGAAGCATGAAAAGCTATGCCATATAGATTTTTTTAACATTAACTGGGAGACGAGATCAAGCTAAATAAATGTTGTCCAGAGCACACATTAATACATTGTTTGTTAATTTGGAGCGATTTATGACATTTCGCAAACATGTGTGCGCCGTAACTTTTACTTTAAATACAGTTCATATGCTTTCCTCCTTTTTTCTGCAGAGCAAAGTCTAAAAACGGTGGGAAATGCCTGAGAGAAAAGCTGGAAAAGATTGGACTGAATCTACCTGCTGGGAGACGCAAAGCTGCCAATGTCACACTACTAACATCTCTCGTGGAAGGTGACCGACTAATTTTTTGGTGATAAAAGCCAAATCTTTATTTAAATTTTATTTTTTATTATTGCTTTCAAGAGTTTCAGGATTCCCCTTCTGCTTCCCCCATACACCGCCACAACTAACTGGATTTCTGGCTATGAGCACAACTCAACATAGTGTCATTTATCAAAAAATAGATAAGAAAAAACAACTTTTTTTAAGTTCATATCATGTGAAAACTCGAGAAAAAATATATGAATTCCTTTATTCATAAAATGTCTGTTAAAATGTAGCTAGGGAAATATTCATTGCCGATAGATGTGTTTGAGGCTGCTAAATTAACGGATTAAAGACTGGAGGTTGGGCCCATCCCTTTGGCTACACCAACATATAGACCGAGTGCCTGTGTCTTACTAAAAACAGGTAACGGGAATTTACTTTTTAAAGAAAGTATTTCTTTTGAGTGATGACGACTTACTTTTAAATGTATAAACTGCACGACTGTTTTATTCGTGCCTGTACAGTATAACCCAAAATAAAGTGGATCATTTTAAATATTAATTAGCAAGTAAAAGGTACTAATGTTTAATCTACACGATAAAAAAAATAAAAAAAAACTTAAAACACTTTAAGTGGTTTTGAGTCAGCTGAGAGGACAGCTGTGGGAGGGTTCTGCCTAAAACGATACGGCTTTTTGTCAGTGACGTTAATGAGTTAAAAAAAAATGATAATAAGAATAATTAAATGACACCTGACAATACTCATACTTTTTTGAAGCCAGTATCTCGTGAACCGAAAGATCTTGTTCGTTTGTATTTATACTTATATTTACAGTTGCAATATATAACACATCTAATACCTTCCCCCACAGGTGAAGCGGTCCACCTGGCTCGGGATTTCGGTTACATCTGCGAGACGGAGTTTCCCACCAAAGCCGTGAGCGAGTACCTCAACCGCCAGCACGCGGACCCCAACGAGCTGCACACGCGGAAAAACATGCTGCTGGCGACAAAGTGAGTTTGATGGAGCGTTTGATTAGATTCTGTTCTCTCATAGCCTTTATGGGTGTTTTCTCTCATACAGGATATAGACTGTCTGCACTGCATCATATAGAAGTGGATGGAGGATGATGATGGGATTGAAGTGCGAGAACGTAATGCTGAATTATAATTCAAATGACATTTTTAGGTATTAGGACACATTCAGACACAGCAGGACATTGTTGAAAGTAAGGTGTCAGAAAGACTGGGCCCTAAACCACCTTGCAATACTTAAAGTCAGCAAAGAAACAAAGAGTAAAAATCCAACAAACAACAAAAGAGCAACAAGAGAAATGAAGTTAAATGTTTGGGGGTTTTTAAAAGTCCAATATGTCTCTGATGCTTCTAATTCAGACTTCTTGTTGCAATTTAAATGTTTCAGATTTTTCCCATTAGACAAGGTTTACACATCATTACTGCCTTTTGGTAGCATTTCTGTTGTCCTTGTGTTTTGTTGTCCATTGAAATTGCATAACATTTACACATGAATTCTGAATAGCACAGGGTAATCACTTTCTGCAAATAGGTACATTTAGGGAGAATTAAATTATTATGAAATTAAGGCCAGTCTCATTTCCTGAGGTCTTTATGGTCCATTTTAAGAAACCCAGAGGGTGTGAACCCCTGCTATATTCTGTGCCTTATCCTATAGTCCACTCTGCCTTAGTGGCATTTGGAGAGGAAATTGTGATATTTTTTTAATGAAACCCACTGAACTATATCTAACTTGTATTTAAATGGCTGACTGGAAAAAAAAACTGCAATGCAGAAAAAACAGGGCAGTTAAAGTCAGGTCAAGTATTTGAGAAATGAGCTAAAATAAAGCCAAGAATCTAAAACAAAATTAACAAGACATCGGTTTTACCCTTTTTATCAGGACAAATTGTGCACACATTAGCTTCCTTACAAGCAGCTTTTTCACAGAATAATCTTGAGGTGAGGTGGGGCACTATTAACACAGCCTATAAACACAAACCCTGATGTTTCTATATCTGACCACAGTTTCTGGTCTTAGAGATAATCTGTTTTATTTGCACTTTTGTAAAGTTACTTGTACTGATATATTTTTTATTAATAATTAGGAGATCCTGGAATTTAATTAAGGCTCTTCTGAGTGCACATGGGCAAGATAGCTTTTTTTTTCTAAATAAGTGTTGAAGATTTAAAATTAATTTATAAAAGCAGACTTAGTGGAATTAGAGTTCTTCCAAGTCCTCCACTCAGGAAGCTTATATTTTTAGCTTGCATAAGTGTTGTTGTCTGCTGGCCTGCATAAACCATCTGTCCGTCTATGTGTGTGAGAGTGTGTGTGTTTGTGTGGTGCTCAGTATGTACAATGTGTTTGGTGGTGGATGTCTGATGCTCAGATTGAAACCTGTTCCAATACTGTGCATCAGTGCTGCCTGTTAGAAATTCATTATTTAGCAGTGGAGTGTTTCAAGTCGTCAGAAAACAACAGCGAGAGCCTTGAGTGTAGCCCGGGGTGGCGGCTTCTCCTCTCTACTCCCCTAACCCCAGCTGGGCTCGGCCTGCACAGCCTGTCACTCATTTGCTGGAGCTCTGCCCTTAGGCCGCTTACAGGGTGTGTGCGTACGGACTGTGCAAGTATGAATCTGTGAAAGGGGGGAGGAAGATGGAGAAGGAGGTCTCTTGAATTTAAAATGTGGGCCTAAAACCAGGGGATGATTTAACAAGGAGAACTAGGTGAATAGGTTATTTTCTTTTACAGTTGCATTTGAAATTCAATGAAAAATTAAGATCCATGTTACTAACCACACATTCTTATATCTAAATATTAGTTATTCATTTAGAAAACTCTTAATCGGATGATTTTTGCATTATTTTCACTGAAGGGGTATGCATTAACTCCATTATAGAAATATGTAATATTTGAAATTACCCTTGTTTCTCTGGGTTCTGCTATATCACTGTATTTCACATCCTCATAGATCAGAATGACTGATCTTTGAGAATGATTGAATTTACATACAATTCAATTGTACTGAATTGTATGTAAATTCAATACACGTTTCAAGTGTCAAAAGTAGTTAGGAAGAAAATGTTAATCTTCTCTACAAAAATAGGGAAATGGGAATGGTAAAATGCTTATAATATACATAAAAACACAAACACCCATGCTAGAACTGAACTCGTGTTCTCCCTGTGTCCAGGTGCAGGTGATAATCACAGACTGCTTTTATGTTCATGCTGTGTTCATGAGAGTTAAACAGAGTTAAACAAGGCAAAACTGAAAAAAAATATGTAAGGGTTGAAGGGGGGAGCACTGGGAATTTCATTCAAAAGAGTTAAAAAATAAAGGTATAAGCATGATTTTTTTCCCCTTAAGTCATAATACGGTTAATTTTTGTTCTGTTAAGTTTATTCATTGAACACAATCAAAAGGGAATCGTCAGAGCGGTGGGTTTTTCTCTGTGAGGTCGTGAGGTCTTTAATATATAACATTACTCTGTGACGTTTATGTCATTCTGAGTGATGATAAGTAACCTTAGCCTTCATCCTCATACTATGGAAATATGTGAATTTAGCTTTTGAAAAATGTTCTCCGAGTCTAAACATTTTAGTGACAAAAAAACAAAACAAAACCTGTAAATTTCAATTTAGAGGGATATTACGCAACACTAATGATGGCTACTATCAATTTGTTCTAAATAAATAATACTGAATGGAATTTTAAAAATACACACACACACACACACACACACACACACAATCATCTTCCTCTTCCAATGCGTTACATTTTAAAATAAACTTCAATTTTTCAAATTATAAAACGAGCTGTTTTATGTATTCTTTCCTTTCTGGAAAGGTGGGTAGAGCTGTGTCGCCTTTAGGAGCTGCTAAAGAATTTCATTAATCTGGCTTTTGGAACTGTTCTGAATAATTTTGGGGGGTCTTTTCCAAGTTCGCATCTATACAGTTTGCTTTGCATTATTTCAGCCGTCTACTAAACTGCTGAAAACTTAATACAGCCTACTCGGTGCACAGCGCTCTATTCTGCAAGCAGTTTTAGTTTGAGTGGTATTGCTTTCATTTTAGAGAAGTCTAAAACTAACATTGCAGTTTAGCATTCATGCCTCCAACATTACTGTCTTTGAGCTGTGTTTCAACAGGGAAGTGGTTGTCCCACTTTTTTTTTTTGATGTGCCCCTTTCAAAAGCTGGGGGGGGGGGGATCACACCCTACACCCCACACTTTTAAAAATAAAAAATGATCCAACTTGAATTTTAGTTTGATAAAACACTGCACAATTGTGTCAGCAAACTCAACAATGAAATTAGTTTCATACCATTCCCCCCCCCCCCAGTCTTCCTCGCCCCACCTGCTGTGGTTTTATGACCCACAGTTTGAGAACCACTGCTACAGGGCATGATTTTCCAAAAATGTGAAAGTCAAACCAGCATGGAGATTTGAGTCAATTTGTTTCTTTTTGCAAACACTGAACTGTGAAATAGCAACATGTGATTCCAGCATATGAACTGATTGTATTCACTGCGGTTTCCAGAAGAGCTGGAGGAAAGTCTGCAATCAATACAACAAAATTCCCTCACTGTCACTGACGAAGCTCTCAGTCTGCTCTTGGGGGACATTTAGTTACATTTTGCAATTAGGCATGCCTGCACAATTTACATCTGGAATGGGACTCAGAAAGTCTTAAGTACTGTAGGATCAGGTAAAGTGTTAGTTACTTTATAAAGTTCTAGTGTTAAAAATGCCTACAAAGAATTTCAATAATCAAAATTCAAATCTAATTATGTGCAGCTAATGTTTTGGGGCCCCAAGGAAGTCTTGGGCTCTGAGGGATGTTCTTTATATTGCCTGTGTGGTAATTTTCGAATATTGGCTTTTAGAGATTTTTAATATGATGTTGTCTGCTCTGCATTTTATGTCAGCTTTGTCATTAATAACATTCTTGAGGAAATCCTGAATAAATCATCAGTGTTTTGTTTTAATGACAGCAAACTGGCAGTTATTTGTCATATATCAGCTTTCCAAAAACCCTTTTGGGGAAAGCCTAAGATGATGCAGAGCTCCCTCCTGACGTCTTGTTGTGTCTTCTCTCCTGCAGACAGCTGTGTAAGGAGTTCACAGACCTGCTGGCCCAGGACAGGACTCCCCTGGGCAACTCAAGGCCCACCCCCATCCTGGAGCCTGGCATCCAGAGCTGCCTCTCCCACTTCTCCTTAATCACGCATGGTTTTGGTTCGCCCGCCATCTGCGCTGCACTCACCGCCCTGCAGAACTACCTCACCGAGGCTCTCAAAGGACTCGACAAGATGTTTCTCAACAACCCTCCCAACAACCGGCACGGGGATGCTGGCAAGACCGGCGACAAAGAGGAGAAGCAGCGGAAATGAAGCAGGAGAAGGAGGGGAGTGATGATCGAGAGCTGAGAAGGAGGCAGACACACAGACAGAGGCGTTACACCGTTACTTCTAGCTTTACACCCCTGCGACTGACCTGCCACGCACGGGGCTGAGGTGGAGGAGGAAGGGGAAGGCTCGGCAGAGAGAAAAAGGCAGAGAAAGACACCCGTGGGCCAGTGTCAGAGAGCACAGAGGGATTTTTCATCTGTGTTACGTTCTTTTCATTCCCCTGAGGACATGGTGGTTACTGTGTTACATTCATTTCGCTCCCCCTGCCTGCATCCTGTGAGACTGAGATGCTGTGAGCAGCCAACAAACAACATTGTGTCTGTGTGCCTGAGTGAGTGTGTGCCTGTCTGTGTGTGTGTGTGTGTGTGTGTTTGTCTTCACACAGAAAAAGCATTGTGAGATTGGGTGATGAGCAATCTATATGTGAAACAGGGTTGTCTGGTTATTTAACACAAGAGGAGGGAGAGGAGGGGAGGTGTTAATTTATGTGTGTAAATATTTATTTATATTAATTTAAATGGATGGTTGTGTAAATAGGTGCGCCAGCTATTTTGGAGTAGGCCTATTAATCTGTGATTTGACCTTTGTGAGCCGTTTGGGGGACAGGACTCATCCAGTGTTTTTCTGTTCTTATAGAGCTGTTGTCATGGTGCTGATGATGGGTAGACATGCTTCTAATTGTCCAGTGATTTCATTTCTATCATATTGATAATAAACCATGTGTTTTATTATGCGAGGTGTGCAGCCTGCGCCTTTTCTCCAGGGAAATTCCAAAGCAGAGTCTCAGTAAAGGCTGGGGTTCAACTTGTATTCATTTGTGTCATGAAATATTGAAGAAGAGCAGCTTTCTGGAAGAAAATTCAACTTTCACAATGACCGGAAGTGGATTGATGCCAGGATTTTAACACTGTTGTTCACTGAGTAATAAGTCAGATTCACAGGTCAGGCATCTTTGGGTGTAGGAAGAAAAAAAGACTGATATCTGCTAAATGGGGGCCAATGAAAACACCGAACCACTCAAATAAATGACTGGCTACACTGACAAATTGTATTCCAAATTTTAGAGATACATTAGCATCAAGTTTCTCCGTCTTCTTCCCTTCAGTTTTGTGTTTAGTGTTTTGTTCACTCTAAAAGGATAACACAACAAAACTCACTACCTTAGAGATTATCAATGGGTACTGATTTAGCTATGGGAAGTTTCGGACCTTATCTATAACAAGAAATACGCGTGTCAATCATATTGAATACATTCCTTAAAAACAGTTGAATGGCACACGACTCTGCTAACATCTGTTTTTAACATTTTTTTTACTATAGGATTAAACTGAAAATATAGAAATCTGGGCCAACAAAGGAGACAAAGGAACTTTACAATGCAATTCCCTCAAAAATTAGAGACAAATCAATTCACAGCTTTCCCCATCTTCAGAGGAGAAATAAACACAACTTTTTACAAGAGCAAAACGCCAAAAGACCAGCATTATTGTTGCAGTTGTGAGGTAATTTAAGAGCTTCAAGTAGATTCCAGAACAGAAAAGCCCTTACTCTAGGGCCAAGATAAGCAGTTAAGGTTAAGGTGTGTTAGGCCCTAAAGGTCCCCTGACCACATTTCTGGTAAACTATATTTTCTCACATTTAAATATTACGGATTTAAATTGCAAAGGGGTATGGCACTACATGTATTTCTCTTAGTATCTTTATCTTTCTGCCAGGAATAAAACGAGAAAACTGCTGGACTTACGGATATTTAAAGGCACAACTTTTGCAACTACAAATAAAAAAGTCAGCACATAAATTCAAAAAGAGGGATGGAGCCACTTTAATCCTAATTAACCAGGCATTAAATCGGCCTGTGAGTGCATAACTGCAAGTTAATTGTTTGCTGTTTGGTTACACCATCTGGAGTTGTAATGCTAATTGAGGAGGGCAGGTTTTATTTCTTTAATGAACTACATATACTCCCAGAAACTGCTGATTATTGATTGTTTTGTGGTCATGAATATTATATACCCTTAAAGTATCATTCTTATTATTACTATTCATGCTGTTATTGCTGTTTTATTATTCTATAAGTAATAGCCTTGCGAGGTTTAAAATGTCCATATATTGCAACAAGGTCTGAAAACACGCCCGCGCGCACGCACATGCACGCACCATGATGGATACTGTCTTATTCCAGGGAGATAATTGGCTGTATTTTCCAGCCAGTGAGGCCCTTTTTTCAGAGAGAGGCTTCTCTCTCACACGCGCACATGGGGAACAGAATCGTGCCTCGCGGGCTCGCTTCTCTTCTGCGGTGGGGATCTACCGCCGGTGTGCTAATGACGAGTGAGCGCGAGACGCGCAGCGAAAAGCAGAGAGGGCCACAGAAAGAAAGCTAATGAGAAAAAGAGACAGTGGAAGGAAGAAAATAAGGCAAGAGAAAGGGAAGAGAGGGAGCCCGCGGGCTCACTGTGACCCGTAGAGTGGAACGCTGCGTGACGCAGGTGCAGAGTTCAGCACCCGCATGTCCGCGAGCGATTCCCGTTCAACAAAGGCAGGAAGCTGCTGAGCATCAGTGGCCACAAGAACGGCAGGTCCGCTGGAAAAACAAACAAACAAGCCAAAAACAACAAAACAACAAACGCGAGGAGAAACTTGGCTTTTAAACAAATTAGCTGAGACCGCACGATAAGTGTGACAGCGTCGATTTAAATAATAATTAAAGGCACTCGATATAAAATAGTTTAATTGAAATTTTAATGTCACCCTACATTGCACCGTTAATCAAAAACGATAGACTGTGTTTCGAATGATTCGCAGCAGATGGTTCACTGTTTGTCCCACAGTTTTAAGGACTTATATCTGAAAACAAAAAGTATTGCTGAATTAATTTATAAGAAACAGGATTAAACACGACTGCAATGGACAAAGGTGTGCAGTAGGTGTGACAAGTGCAACACTGGTGCTGAAAAAATAATCTAAACAGCATAAAGACATGGCAATAAAGTAAAATGACATACAGAAGAAAACTGTGCATGAAATGTGACTGTTTTATAGTGATAATTAACCCTGGATTTCTCTCCTTAAAACGTTACTTCAGGGTTTTCTTTTTCCATTGCCTACAAAGTTGGTTCTGTATATGGGGCCTTGCTTCTCTTGCTTTAGTTCAGGCTCTTCCTGTGGAGTTACTTTGCATTTTTCTTTTGTCATATTTTCTAAGGAGTTTCCTGCACACAAATCAAAGATTGGTGTTTAAAATTATTTTTTTAAAAATGCATAAAGAAACAGATCAAATGTGTAGAATACGCAAAGAGAACTGAGAAGCTGCCGTTAATTAGAAATGTTTATAAGATTAATAGAACTTGAGGTTAAGATTTATGTTTTGACATAACTGTGAGGATATAATTTTCAAAAAGTAATGGTATAGGATCAGTGCACTGTAAAAGTCTCAGAAAATAACAGTCATGTTTAAGCTGACACATAGCTGTACATGTGTCTAACTTCCATTTCTTAGAGATTTTTAATTCTTTCCCAACATTGTTTTTAATGTTATTTCTTGTTAATCAGTTATCATAGATGTGAAACAGTTTAAAGACGTACTAAAAAATCATCACCAGATAGATTTTGTAGTTTATGAGGTTTGTGTAGTGTTTTGTTTATCTTTAAAAGGTTACATATGAAATCTGACCAACCTGGAGACAAAGTGTGTAATGATGTCAAAAAATAAGTGTAAGCTATAACATTAGATGTGTGTTTTAATCACATCTGTTACTGCTTACAAATATTTGAACAGTCTGTATGTTCCCCTCACATAATTCTGCAGACATCCATTTTAAAATACCTTATGAATACATGTGTATCATGATTAATATATAATTAAACTGAAAATGTATTTTTAAAAAAGAGCCAGGTTTACAGAGGAGACAGACTAATGTTCTAACGCGTCCCAGTCAGCTTCCCATATTCAAATAACAAGGCACTAAACAATTCAATTTTCTCAATATTTTCACACAAGAAATAATGTCAGCTTCTATAATAACTGAGCACCAGCATTATTGAAGTGTTTACAATATTGTTGTGATATTGTAGAAGAAATTTAAGGTGCTAACCTAAGGTCCAAGACAAAAAAGTTGGACGGGACAAACAGTTAAGACTGAGGTGTGTTAGGCCCTGAAGGTCCCCTAGCCACATTTCCATTGACACTCATTAAATGCATTAAATATCATAGGTGTAAATTGCAAAATGCATTTCTTTGTTTGTTTCTTTTTTGTGCAGTTCTGCACAATTCTGTGATCACTTCTCAGTGCATGGAGGGTTCTCGAGCTGCTGAGCGTTTAAAACTGCAAATAACCATCCAGGAGCTCGATACAATATAAATCACTTGTGTCTGATGAATTGGTGATAATGATAAGCAAAATTTATTTTTATGAAAGTGTCAGAGGTAGTTACACGACTAGGGGGAGGTAATCCAGTTACGAACAGGGACTGAGATTATGAAGACAATGAGAACATTTGATAGATGCAAGTATGAGAGCAGCGCTGACAGTCCTTTCTATATGCAGTTATGTCTGCATCTGGCTGCATCTGCCTGTCTGTCATTTTGCCAGGAAGTGAGCGAGGATGCCCCCATCAGCAAAGCCCCTCGGCGTTCTGTCACGCAATGGGCTGTAAAAATGCTTATCCAACACACATACACGCGCACACACACACACGCACGCTCAGGTTATCCAGCATGCAGACAGCCGAGTGCCGGTCGGGAGTAATTCCTGCTCGGGGCGCTGTGCTCCAGGCAAGGCAGGCGCGTGCTGGATATTTCATTATTCATTAATTTACTGTTTAACAAATCCTGTCATTACTGAGTCCGAGCTGAGTTCACCCACACACACACACACATACACAAAACACACACTTGCAGCAGCAGGGGTGTCAGGCGTGGCAAATCTGCCTGTTTGATCCCGGCCTTCTCAACAAACGGGGAGAGAGCCATGAATAATAAGAAACGCGAAGCCTCGCCGGAACGAGGGAGCGTGACACTGTCTCACAAAAAGCCCTTTAGCATGGAGCAAAGCTCCGCCGGGGCCTCACCCAGGGCCCAGGGTTCATCATATGAAAAGACAAAACAAACAGTTGGCACAGCCATGATCGATATGAAAGGCAAAGCTCCCACACACACAAAGGGCAAAAGTGAATTAGTCATGTTTGACAAAAGATGCTGCACTGTTTCCTTTCTGCACATGGAGGAGTCTAGCATGGCTGCTGTTTACTGTTTTCAACACTCACTCCACTAATGGGATAAGGATTAAAGCAGTGAATGTGTTTTTGGCTGAAGTCCCTACGAAAACAAAGAGGTATCTTCTCGAGCTTCCCGTGAAACAGTTGAACACAGGCAGAATGATGAACTCATGCGCTAGAATAATGACTTTTACTTTCCCTTTTCAGTCTAGTTCACTTAATTAATTAACGGAGGAAACCTCCAGGCTACAAATATTCATTATTTCACAGGAAGAAAAACATGTATCATAAATATTCTAATGATATATTTGTGTTGTAGAATTAAATTTTAGTCTAAATAACTCAGTAACTAAACTCATCGTGTCAGATAGTATGCTTTGCGGCTGGAGAAGGTGGAGAAAGGTGACAGACTCTTGGCAGTGAGTGCCACAGCGAAGGGATCAGACTCATGTTCGAAGGAGAAAAGATTGTATTTCTCAATCTGCTGCCCTCAAGTACGCTGCCGTCTGTGGGTGG